TTATAAAGAACAGCACAAAGATTTACACAGCATGACTTTTATACTTACCAGAAAGATATAACAATCAAGAATGTGTACAATATTTGTGAAAGAATAAAGGAGACAGAGAGAAATAGCCAAGAACAAAAGCAGGAAAACATAGTCAACTTTTAACCAAAAGACCAAAGGAACTTTGGCCAGGATAAGTGTGATCTTGAGCAGTATTACCCAGCTCCCTATGATTGATTCAATGTGCATAGAAATGAAATAATCACAGACTTCACAACTTTCACAAAATTAACTCAAAGTGGCCCTTAAGCTGACCTGCCAACTACTGATCTTCTTTCCAAAGACAGAAGCTCCATGATCTAGAGCTCTCTCTGCAAATGGGAGTGATCTCTTGCTATGGCTCTGTAGGCCCTTATGCCTCCTTATGGTTTCAGGTACACCCAGGCCCACTGATGCCAATCCCAAATTAACACAGAAGAAAAATTTAAAATCTGTTTTCTACCACGTGGATTATGGCACAAGATATGGATTCCGCCCTATTTTCCTGCCCAATATCATTTGTTCCCTGGAACTAAACTTCACTGAATCACACCATTGAACTCACTGAACCACACCATTGCAGCTGGTGGTACCAGAAATTTAAAAAGCACTCTGATCAAGTATCGCTAAAGGTGGTCCACATCACCATCATTCTATCAGTTTCTAAACTATTTGTAAGCTGAAAGTGGAATGCAATATTCCAAACTTCTAGAAACAATCAGCTTTCCAATCTATCTTCTCACTGCACACCTAAAGCAGTACCCATGTGTGCACACTGAACCATGATTCTACAAGCATCATATCCTACCATGCCAGGGCTACAAAGGCTCCCACTCCCCAGGAAATCCATACACAGGGAGGCTCAGAAGACATGAGCCACTGCCCAGGTCACCACGTGGAACAACAGAACCACTGTACAGCTCATGGTCCACTCAAATCCCAGGAGAAATGACAGCTCAGCCAACTTGAACACCCCACACTCATCATGGCATGGCTTGTGGTCTTCCTTGAAACTCACTATAGCCTTTACCCTCAGAGACATCTCAATGCCTTATAGCAGAAGCAGGGGAGAATCATGGAAAGAACTCCCAAGCTACCTGCCACTAGTACTCCTGATTACTAAGCCTCCCACACTCTCTCATTGGCTAGGGCCACTCAGCTCACCACCAGTGGGTGAGTGAGATCATATGAATCAAATAACACAGCCCTTCTAGCTCTGCCCTTCCAGCCCAGCAGACAGGGCCCTAGTATAGAAAGTATTTTAGAAGACATTCTTCTACTCTCCTAGGGCACATTCTGTGCCTCATCCAAAGCACAGAGTCCTTCGTATGCACAATGCATTAGACACCAATGTGCAGTACAGCTAACCTATTGACTCATAGCTGGGAAATCCAGCAGCCAAACACAGATCACATTCACACAGTAACTATTGTTGTTGTAACAGTTGTTACAAAAAAAAAAAAACAAAAAAACAGAGCATGAATTATAAAACAATGCAGGGTCATGGTAGGGCTTGGAGGCAGGAAAGAGAATGGATAAAATTAAAAAAAAAATCTATTTTCAAAAGTTGAAACAGGCTTTATGGCCATGTTCTCCAGAAACTAGGAATTTGTATGGGAACATATAACATATCAAAGATTTCTCATACCTCTTCTTTAAGGAAGAACATCTTAAACCAGAAAAATAGCAGTCTTGATAGGCAGGGCCACAACATTTTACCCAGATCTTCTATGTTGATTGAACTACTCTAACTATAAAAATTTGGTTCCATGATAAGGTCAATCCTTTAACTGTGGACCCCAGTCTGTGAACCACCAGAAATGGCCAGTCAGTTTATGGGTGGTGTGTTATTTATGATTTAGTAAAGCTCACCTGAGGATTCAGAAAGCAAAGTCAGCCACAAGCCACAGAAGCCTGGCACACACCTTTAATCCCAAAATTTGGGATTAAGAGGTAGACAGATCTCTGATAGTTCAAGGCCACAATGACTACAAAAAGATTGATCCAGTGCTAAGAGAAACAGCTCACACAAAGATGATCTCTCCATTTGGTATCACATGCCTTTAATCCCAGGTCTAAAGGGTCTTCAGTAGGCTCAGTCTTAGGATTCTCCTGCGTCACTGAGGAGCGGCAGCATTCAGAGCAAGTGGATCAGCCCTTTCAGCCTGAGCGAGAGGTGAGAGAGCAAGTGGTTGGCCGCTTTGTATTTCTGGCCTTCATTATGGATCATCTAAAATTGATTACATGGCTCCACCTTGCTAATCTCAACTACTGTTGGAGCAGGAAAGCGCTCATCCTCCTTGCTGCCCCTCCTGCCCTGCACTGCCACTATACCAGCTTCTCTGGCAGTCAGTGAACTCACTTCTTGCACAGGTCCCTTTCATTTTCATGTCCCCAAAAAGGCCAGAGACACTGGCAGACACTCATTAATTGCTCTGTTTTTTTCTTCTCGCTTGAGCTGTCAAGGCCCAGCCTGGAAGAAATTACAAGACTGTTTTCCTATCAGAGGCAAGACTGGGTTTCCAAAGCAATTCCCAGTTACATAGCATGAGGCAACCATAAGCTACAGGAGGCTTTGCTCTACACAGAAATCAATAATCAACATCACTTGAGAGAAAGGGAATGAAACTACTAATGACCCAGAAACATTGGCAAACAGAAATAGAGATAGGAGCAGTAATGCACTTAAAGAAAATAACTTCAAATGATACCAAAAAGTGACTTTTAAAATGGTAAAAATAATGTATTTTTAAAATAAAAATGTCCACTATGTTGACTGCCCTAGTGGAGGGAATGGCATTAATATGAGATAGATTGATGTTACCCAATTGATGCTAAGATCTATAAACTGACACAGATCTTTCTCAACTCTGAGATGACATACCTGTTTCAAGGACTGAATAGGATCGTTGTCTAATTACAAGTTCAATATTCATTGGCTCAAGATAACCTTCCCAAACAGTACACTCAGACAATCCAGTCTGTGTTCATTCGCATGACATGAATTAAAGCATGCTGGAGGATTATAAAATCACTCCCCCTACCACAATCAGGTCCTTTTACATAATGGTAACTCCAGCAGCATGTTGCCTGCCCTGTTTCCCCTGCAGTGTAGACAATAAACTATTGCTCCTATTTTGGTCTGAAGACAGAAGCAATGCACCACATGAGAATCCTTTTCCTGTGACTGCATTTGATAGTCGACTACAGGACTCAAATGGATCGTTTTAAAACTCCGAGGTGGTACAGTGACTTAGAACTTTGAAGTTTTAATGTAGAAGATCGACAGAACGGAATCAAGGCTGCCTGATGATATAAGAGAGCTTGTGTCAGAAACATTTTTCTGAAAGGCAGGAAAAGGCAGCTGTTCTAGATTAATATGCCTTCCCAGGGAGAAACCACTTCACACACTTAAGAGATTAACAAGGAAAAATCACTTAAATGATAGTATGCATCTATCTCTGGCTAATGCTCAAGGAGAAGCTAGGTTAGAAAGATTTTTTTTTTATTTATCGTATGCCAACATCATTAAGTATCTTTTAGGTTCCTGCTCCAGGTTACACTTTGAACACTTGCCAGTCTAGTCACTTAGCAGATGGGAGAGTTACACAGCAATGATATTTGCAGCAGGTCACTGACAGGGTCCTGAGGTGAAGGTCACAGGGGATGAGAAAGGTAAGACAGGTAGAAAGTAGAAAAGATAAAAGCTGGGTTTCTGAGGTCTTACAAAAGCCATGTCTCGTGCCAAGTAAGCATGTTAAGAATAGCGTCTTGTATACTACTTCCAGGGAGGAAATGGGACATTTCTACAGTCAGAAGAAGCTAACATACACCACGACAAATTCCAGAGGCTAATCAAACAATACTACACTGGAGGAAAACGGTATCTCAAAACATTACTGACTGTGGCCTGGAACTGATAACCACAGTTCCATGTGGTAGGAAGAGCTGGGTTCTCAGGATCTGAAGCAACTTATCCACAAAGGCACTGACCCCAGACCATTGCCAGCTCCCCCAAGCATATTCCTGGTTTTAGAGGAGTTCTGTTTTATTGTCAATACACCAGGCCCTTAGGAAAAGCTCGAGTCTGTTATTATCTCTCCCAAGAATGTTCCTTCTCCCTGCATGAGGGTCTAAATGCAAGCCTCTCTTGATCAGGGAAGTCCTTAAGACAACAGTGTTTTACATTTCAAATACGTGTGTCATACCATCCATCTGGCAGAACTATGCTTTTCTCAAGAAGAAACCTGAACCTTTACAGCACACAAGGACTTGATACTGGTTGCAAACCCTCCTTGAGCAGCTTGTTAGAGGCTATTCTTTAATAAGAGGATGGGTCTGTCTAGTGGCTGGTTGTAAATCGGGGGCTCCTCTTTGTAATGGTTTGGAGCTGTATGTCTGGACAATCCTGGTGAACAAATGTGTATCCTAGCATCGTAGTGTCTAAAACGACAGGACAGTATACACTTAACTTTTAGGAGTTCTAGAGGCAGTCCTTCCTCAGCTTAATTCTACTTTGTGAGACTTACTATTTCCTATGCATTGGTAAATCCTTTAAATCACAGAGTGCTACCCAACACATGAGATGCCTTTTACAACCTTCACAAAATTAACTAGAAATGGATCTTACGTGTAAAGTTTAAACACAAAGTGCTGACCCTGTAGAATATACTGGAAAACTAGGCCTGTCCGAGTTTGGCAACTGCTTTCCATGGACTCACCAAAAACATGTCGAAGTTGACTAGAAAGCTCCCACACAGCTCCCTGTTCCCAAGGCGCGGAGCAGATCTGGCCGACAAGGGAAGTCATTCAGAAGCCTGCACCTGGAGTCAGGGAGTTGCACCGACCACATGGGACTTCACAAGACAGAGAAACTGGCTGCAGGTTCCCACCCAGATCCGGAGAGGATCCACAACACAGGCTCCAGCAGTTCATCATCTGCTGCTCTCTGGGAAAAGCAGTCCCTCACTCACCATGTGGTTTTCCGGATCCTCCATGATCTCCGCCGAGCTCCCGGCAGCACCAATAGCAGCACAGCACACAGAACCACCACCACTAGCTCCTCTTCATTGCCAACACGGAAGCAGGCGGCAGGAAGAGACCTGCACCATTTCTGACTGACAGATCAGCTAGAGTACATGATTGGCTAGTGAGGCACGAGTGACAAGCACAGCTCCACAGTGGTTCCTGACCCAGCCTTCCATCCCAAAGACCTTGTCTAAGTTTACAAAGATTTGCATTTCAATAGCACTTTCCGCTGGCTCCGACTGGGCTATCTTCCTGCACTCCCTAGGCGATTTACATTCTTCCTCCTGGACATGCGGGTGCAGAGGAAGGGTGCCCATAATATTAACTGTTAAAGTGAGATCAAGGAGATGTTTGTTGTGTGGCTTCACGCTGAGGTCAGGTAAACAGAAAGTACTTTTTTACCTAGTTGTCACAGCGATTTCAGACAACCAAGAAGGAAATACAGCGACCAGATCACAAAGGAGATGATGGGTCTTTTTCCCACCAAAAGGCTGAAATTCAGCGTCTGGATATGCTCAGGTAGAATACCGCTATTCCTAAGCTTTCCCAGTTAATAAATCAACCTGTGGCCATGATCACAAAAGACAGAAAGAGAGTCAGAGACAGAGAGAGATTTAGTACAAGTTCTTAGCTGAAAATCAAGGAAATGACACTGTGGAAAGTAGACCGCTTTGGAGCCTATGAAAGCTGTCAATCTTGATATCTGATCTAAGCTGGAGTAATGCCACAATCCTCACAGATACAAAAGATAGAGAATACAAACACAGAAAACTTCAAGGAAAAGTCACTTTACTACATTTTCTAGTCCGCTCTTAGATGAACAGTTATGTTGAACTCTATTAACCTAAAAACATAGTAGCTGCTTTTGCCTCTCAGCAGGCTGTCTCAGCAGGACATAGCTGCTTCAAGGCAAGACCAGAAGGCGTTTGTTTTAACTAGCCAAATCAACCAACATCAGAGACCAACACTGAGCCCCAGATATGGCTCCATACCCTGGGGTGACCAAGCAGCAACTTAGTGGCATGTTGAATACAGTAGAATCATTTCTCCCAAGGAAAGAACAACTCTTTGTCCTTACTGTAGTAGATACTCATTCTGGTTATAGAGTCAGCCTCTAATATATAGTACCATGGTAGGGTCCATGGGTCCAGGAATCAAGGTGTGGAGAAGGGAATATTTCCACTCACTATCACCTCTAATGAATGACTAGGAATGTTTTAGCTTCCTGTTTCTACAACCCTAAGTTCTGCTAGCCTGGAAGTTTTAGTTCCTGGGGAGGGGGTGTGCTCCTGCCAGGAACTACAGCAAACATTCTTTGATATGGAAACTCTTTTGAGACAGAGTCCCATGTAGCCCATGATGGTCTTGAATTTGCTGTGTAGCCAGAATAGCTTTGAAGTTCTGACCTTCTGTCTCAATGTCCCATGTTCTGTGGTTTGTTACATACTGTAATGCCCAGTTCCTTAAATGTTTCTTGATTAATGATGATATTTGGAGCTGGAAAATAATTCATTCATGCTGTAGGACTGACTTTTAATTTGTGAGTTGGTGTGTGTTTGTGTGTGTGTGTTTACTAATATTGTTTTAGTCCTATCAATTACTCCCATGCAATGTGTTAACATAGCTCACTATCAGATGCTTCCTGTGGGGATTCATATCAAGCCCCATTGAAAAGGTCTTGAATATCTATCACAGTGTTGTGGCAGACATTGTTGTTACCTGGGATAACAGTAGTTCAGTAGTGTTTGGGAAAAAGTAGTGAAATTACAATAATGCTTCAGATTATTATTGACTTATAATTAAGCTTTCTGCTAGGGTGTTTGTTTTAAGAAGAGTGGATTTACAGAAGAACACCAAGCACTGTAGAGTGTGATCTCACAGGCCCCGCATTACTAACATTACATGCTCACATGGGAATTGATAGTATTGAAAGTGTTGGCAGTCCCTACAGTCTGAACTTGATTTAGCTTTCATTGGTGTTTATGCAGTGCTCCCATTTCTGCTCTCAGGTTCTACTCAGGATCCCAGAGTTGGCCATAGTGCTTGTCAGGGCCTGCCAGGTTAGTAGATTTTCTCTGACTGTCATTGTTTTTTAATGACAAAGTCCTCAGTATCAAAGGCTGGTCTCTCACTTCTTCCTAATTGACTGATTCAATCATTTATTTATGGGCTGATGTGAGGTTTCGGGGGATAAAAGTGCTTCAGCATAAGCAAGCCTGCTGGTCCAAATTCAATCTGCAGATTCTGTGTAACAGTGGGAAGAGAGAACAGACGCCACAGTGACTTATGCCAGTGCAGATTTACAGTAGAATCTGGGCTATAGTCTGACTGCATGTAATTTCTCTTGCTGCTGTGAGCAGACCAATATACACAGTATGTGTATGAAGAGTGCATGACTCTGGTTGAGGCCATACTTGATACAATATTTCCTATGACTCTTATGGAATTGCATTTCAGAAAAAGAATTACTAATGATTTTGTAAAGCAACTATAAAGTTGCTAGTTGAATTAAATCGGAAGCCCTTAAGTCTTTTTGCTCTATTCAGCCATTCTTCAGATGAGAACTCTTCTGTTTTTGAGGCAGTGTGACTTCATTGTACAGTCTGGCCTTCAATGACTTGTGATCCTCCTACATCAGCCTCTCAGTTCTGGGATAGCAGTGTACACAACCAAGGCCAGCTCCAAATGCAAACCATCCAAAGAAGCTTCATTTTGGAGTTACCTGTCTGTCTTTGGAATGGTGGAATTAAAAGAGAGGTACCTGTGTTATAGAGAGCAACAAGAGTTGGCCTTAGAGGCAGTGCCTTTTATATTCAATTATTTTCCCACTTAGGCAAATATTTTCATGTGTGTTTTAAACAAGCCTTTGTTGCAAAAACTGTTGATTTTGTTTGTTTGTTTTGCTTTTACAACTCCAGTTTTGTGTGTTATCTGTTTTACCTAAGCTTTTGTGAAGGTATTCACTGATTCACTGCAACCAATTAACATTTTTTTTTTCTTTTTTAAAAACAGGGTTACTCTGTGTAGCCCTGACTATCCTGCAACTCACTCTGTAGACCAGGCTGGCCTCAAACCTAAACAGATCTGTGTGACTCTGCATTCTGAGGGCTGGGATTAAAGGAGTGGGTCACCACCACCCAGCTGATACTGACTCTTCTTACGGAGAAGGGTGTAGTTAACATTAGTGGGGGGGCATATTTGGCATGTTTGTAAGTAGTTTTATTTCCCTTGGCAGTGGACAGGCTGCTACCTTTAAATCCTTTCCTTTAGAAAATCTTCCTGTGATTATCATAGATGGTGGCTGGTATATGTCTTCATCCTCACTATTCTCAGAATGGACAATAGGGATGATGAGAGAGGGCTTAGCAAGTAAAGGTGCTTGCTGCTAAGTGTGATAACCTGAGTTCTAGGCCTGGAACCCACACAGGTAGAAGGGAAGAACTGACTTGTAAGTTGCCCTCTGACCTCCAATCATTCAACTTGAGATACATTATAACATGAAAAATAGAAGACCCAGAGACTGATACTGAGGTTCAAGTTTCAAGTTGATCAGAGAAGCAAAGCAGCCAGACACTAGCTCTCACCTCAGCTCAGCTCAGCCATAAGTGCGTGGGGGGGGGGGGGTTGACCCTCGAACTGGTCACTATTTCACTGCTCCTTGGAGTCTTTCAGACTGCAGGGTCTCCTCAGCATGGCTGGAGGCTAACTCTCAGACTGAATGGCAACTCTGACCCCCTGTTCCTTTCTTATACCCCTCAATGTTGCTGGGATTAAAGGCATGGGATTCCAGGTACTGAGATCATCTTTTTGTGTGAGCTCTTTCTTTTAGAACTTACTCAACTTTGAGTAGTCAGTGTGGCCTTGAACTGACAGAAATCCAACTACCTCTTAATCCTGAGTACTGGGATTAAAGGTAACACAACTGCCTAGCTCTGTGGCTGCTAGGATTAAAGGTGTGCATGACCACTGAGTGACCTCTATAGCTTGAGGCTGGCTTTACTTTCTGAATCCTCAGGCAAGCTTTGATAAATCATAAATAATAATACATAAAATTAATTAAAACATGGGGTTGGAGAAATGGCTCATTGATTAAAAACACTGGCTGCTCTTGTAGAGGACCTGTGTTTGATTCCCAGCACCTACATAGTTCCTCAAAACCATCTGTAACTTCAGTTGCAGGCGATCCAATAACCTTTTTAGCTTCTGTGGGTGCCAGACACACATGTGATGCACAGATTTACATAAAAACAAAACACCCATACATGTAAAAATAAAAAAAAAAAAGCAAAACAGAATACACCAGCACCCTTACCTAACCTTAACCAACTGCAAGTTAAAACTTACCAAGGCACTTTGCAGAGATGTTCACGCTGTGCATATACAAGGGCCTTTCTGAATTCATTTTTTGCATTGCCATGAAGGTCAGAACCAGTTGAATAAGCTGATCCTTTAAATGAAGAAAGTGCTAGATTGTGATGTGTAAAACTATGTTGCACATAATAGTGCTGTAGAACTGTTGTAGTCTGTCTGTGTGATGTGTACCCTGTGCTGTACACGATAGTGCTATAGTACTCTTGTAGTCTAATCATATATCTTGTTTCTTGTGCTTTTTAGGGTGTTATAGAGCAAATATTAAACCAGAATTGGCTCCTGCTTTATAACTAATCTTGACTGTATAATCCTGTTTAATTTTTTTTTTTTTTTATGTCTACCATGCCTTTGGTGATCTTATGGAAATTTATACCCACTAAAGAAAGGATGTCATGGGAGCATGCATGTTCTGCCTCCATCATAGCATGAAAAAAGACTCTCATCAGGTGTCAGCACTACATTCATGGGCTTTCCAGATTGTAGAGCCATGTGATAATTTCAGAAAAGCTGGGGACGTGCTCTGAGGTGGAACACTTGGCTTGGTTAGAGTGGGTGAGGTCCAGGTTCCGTTAGTTGGGTGTAGGTGAACAGGGATACTGTGTTTCTGGATACTTTAACCTTAGTATTAAAGGAAGACAGTTGT